TTTTCCAGTTTATTTTTCATAACACTGCCAAATATTGAAAAATACTTTTCTGGAATTTATTTTCCAGGAATTCACTTTTCCCGGAATTCATTTTCCAAAAGGAAACAACTTTCCTACAAACAAACGGAGCCTTATATTAAGTTTGTTTTCTTTAAAAGGACAAAAAAGTATGAGCAACATCATTTTAGGGAAAAAAAATTAAAAAATCAAATCAAATATCACTCAAATTTTCACTCAGTTAGTTAAGTTTGACTAGGTTAATTGTATTTAATATAAAAATTAATTTATATAAGATTTTAAATCAACAAATTGGCTCACTACATATAATGAATGAATGATGCATTAAAAGATACATGATGATGAAGGATTCTTATTAAGATTAATTGAATTGAACTAGATCTAATTAATTTAGGTTTATTGTATTTAACTACATCAACTATGGTGCGTTCCAAATTAATTTTTGTATAATACTTCTTTAAAAAATATAATTTGTATCGCGTGAACAAACATCACTTGCTATTAAATTTTTTATTGTGATTTGTACGCGCCATGAATTAACAAAAAAAGATACATCATGATGATGATAAGGCCTCAACATTTTTCACAATGACTCAACATAAGGGTCCCATCTAATCATTATTTTGGGGGGAGCACCATATAATAATAATAATAATAATAATCTACACTTAAAATTAGCATAATTCAATATTATAAAATACATGTTGATAAAAATACATTGCAATAAGAGAGTTGAATTATCGATACTCAAAGGATGCCCCAACATACGTCGTAGTAGTAGATTTTTAGGCTAAAATACCCTTAATTATATCTCAGTAAGTATTATTGAAGTTATCATAAATCTTATTACATGTGTTTTTTTCCCACTAGGATCACCAACAATAAGTATAACTCATATGAATGATCTCACCTTTCTTCCAAGTAAAAGTAATCATCTTTAAAGATTCCAAGCACCAAAAGCAGGTCACTCACCTCTCATCTCTTTGCAAAAAAACAAAATTTAATTTAAAAAGCAGACAGCAAAGGGTAAAGAGCTGTTGAAAGCAAGGAAAGAAGTAAGAAAGCAGCAGCACGAAGCGACCGTTTCTGGTTTGTTTTCTTTATCTTTAGAAAAAGGATAAAACATTAGTGCAGATGATTTGATATTAATTAATGTGATTTAATAATCAATATTTGTAGACATATTAATTAGCAAGAGTATGGATTGGTGGGTCTTCTTTGTTTTTAAACATAAAGGTCTAAAAATGGTAAAATCATTGACAAGTATAGCTGGTCTTGCCTCTGTGGTGGCGGTGGTGGTAACTGACTCTCTTCATCTTTATTGGTCTTTGTATCTCACTGCTATATTTGGGGGACACCCTTTTGTATTTTTTTCACTTTTAGACAGATTTTTTTGGGGACTCTTTTATTCAAATTTGGTAACCAGCTTTAAATTCTTAGATTCTTAATTTTTATTTTATTTGTTTTGGTGGGTTTTCTTTGGATTTGTTCATTGCTTTTGTTTTGATCGGGTTGGGTCTCATAAACTTCTTTTTTATTTCCTGGTGAGTTTTACTGTCCTTTTCAATTTCTTGTTGTTCTTTGTTCTTCTAGGTTTTATCTTTCTTTTTTTTTTTTTCCGGGGTATGGATCATATGTTGTTAGTTTTGTTTTAGACAAGAAATATGGGGTTTGACTGGTAACAGAATCGTTGTCCTGTTTGTTAGGTCTTCTGGTCTCATAATTAATTTTTGAGATGATTGGATTGGAGTCACTGAGCATTTACAAGTTTTTCCTTTTGGTTCACTGTTATTTTCCTTTATTGAGCTAGTTGTTTTATTGTTTGTGGTAGATTCAAATAAATGGAGTTAACCATTATAAATGGTATATCTTGTTTTGCTTTTAGTCACATGGTGTTCTTGCTGTTGTTGTTAATGTGAAACGATATGGGCATGGTTTTGATTAGATTTGGATAACCTTAGTCATCTGTTTGATCATGTAATATTCATGTGTTATGTTGTTTTGAAGAATTGGCTTCTTTGTACTGGAATGAGCTGGTAGGTTGCCATTTCTGTGGAGAAATTTTCTATTTTTGTGTATGGGATTGATTAACTTACTAGGTAAACATTGTCTTGTTTCTCTTAATTGACGTTGTTGCCGTAAACTTACCATTTGTTGTATGATCAATTTGACTTGTGCAGCCCCTACTTGTCGTATTTCACAAATCATTTGTCAACTTTTTGTTTGTCGTACATAATTGATTAACTTCTTAATTCTAGGTTTTATGTTAATGATTGCTTGGCTTGTTTGGTAGGTGAAGTTGTTTGTCATTGGAAATTTGTCGGCAAGATACAAACATAAGATTCTGTTCCTAGATGTCATGCGATCTCTTAGTTAATGCATTCTCAAAGATGGTAAATCTGAGTTGGGTTAAATAAACAAGAAGGAACTTTCGATGGGGTTTAAAATGGGATAATGGTGCATGGCTTCATTTACTGCATGGTTGAGAGTTAGAAAACGCTGCATGTTCGCTAATGTAAGCTTTTATCATGAGCTTTTGGCCTACCAGATGTGCCAGAGAAATTAAAGTGTCTAATGTACGTTTGCTTCTAAGAGATGGAGAAAGAGATAGAGCTGCAGATTTTGGCTGTGCTGCATCATCTTGTTACCTCTTATTATGTTAGATGGACATTCATGAACCTAGTTACTGCAATCACTTTGTGAAGCAACTTTCTGCCCTCAATATGGAGCTATTTTCCTGGTTTGTTTGACAGGGTTGTCTTACAATTACCTGCCAGTCTGTGTTTTGGGTACACGCACCCTTCTGTGAAAATTAATAATGCAAGTATACCCACGAGAACAATAATTTCCTAGGACATCTTCCATGATCAATGACATAGGTTTTGTAGTATTCTAACCTTTCCCCCCCTTTTTTTTTTGTAGTATCCAATTTAATTTTGCTAGTTACCATAGTTTGAGATACATCCAAGTTCATTTCTGTTAGTTACTTCTGCATTTCCACTATCATGATAAAATGTGCACCTTGTCTGCTGTTTCTTATGTTTCCAATATTTTTAGCATTAAATTTGAGCAGCAATGTTTGTAAAAGGTGTTTGTTTTTCAGGTGGAGCAAAGAGACGACACTAGTCCTGCTGACAAGTGGTGTCAACTTCCTTTTCATCAAGGGGGCAATTGGGTCTTTCAAGTTTTTGCGAGTAGCTTAAAGGTAGACATGTCTCAATTCTGGCTCTTTTGTTGCCTGGATTTTGAGTTAGATTCCTTGGATGTATAAATAACAATGAGAAAATTTGTTGCAAGTTCTGACAATTCTTGTTTCATTTACTTTAATCATTTTGCTCATTTTCCCTAGAGTGCTTGCATCACCTGAGTCTTCGGTTTTCTATTTTGGTGCAGCATTCTAATTGAGCATAGGCTGCTAATGCAGTTGTGATTTGACATTGGTTTTTGTCTATTTATTTGCCATAGGTGCTATCTTAACAGCACTTATGCTCAAATCAGATGAATAGTGGAGGATTGTTGCACTGGAAGTGAAACATTTCTATCAGCATAATTGGTTTGGATCTGGAATTCTGGTGAATATGGATGGTTTGCAACTAGTTTCGATGCCACCTAGGAATGCATTCAGGGCTGATCATCCTAAAGCACGGAGGGGGCCTCAACCTGATGTACCTCATTCCATTAAGCCATGCACCAGAGCGTTTCTTGAAACTGGTGCATGGCATCAGTCTCAAAATAAGGGTTCCAATAAAGCGACTATATCAAATGAGTTGTCTGACTATCCTGCATCGCAGAGTTCTGTTACTTGCCCTGATTTCTATTATTCAACCACAAAAGGATGTAATGCTCTTAGTTCATGTGAAGCTTGTATTGATAGTTCTAATGTAGACAAGTCCGAAAAGAAAAAATGTAAACCACAAACCAGGAGGAGGGGAAAACAGAACAAAAGAGTTTCAAGTGATACTGGCTCAACTGAACCTGAAGTTTTATCTGAGTACGCTCAAGGAAGTTCAACCTCCAAAGGCTGTAGTTATAATGATTTTGGAGATGAACTAACATGCTCCGCAACTTCACCAGAAGTTTCACTCAGAGATGCTAGCAGTAACCATATTGATTTTGAAGGTGACACTAGATTTAGCAGTCCTGAAGCCCCAGCAATATGCATGTCGAACATTGATGAAGTGGCTATAGTGGAAACTTTTGAAGCATTGGATGTTTCATCTCCAGATGGTAGCAGTAGCCAGAACAATTTTGAGGGTGATTCAATATTTAGCACTTCTGAAGCATTGCCAATCTGCACATCCAACATTGATGAGGTTGCTACAGTGGAGCCCATTATACCTTCTATAGCTCAGAATTTTCCTGGGGAGCATCAGATGATTAATTCAGAAATCACTTTACAGACAAAAGGAGAGGGATTTTCCCTCTCTGACATTGGGGTGCAGTGCTCAAGTCAGATCAGCTGTTGTGATGATACACAATCCAAAGATTTCTCATATGCTTCTGATTCCTCCCTAGTGTTTGATTATTTATCTATCGGTTCAAACAGTGATGATGGCATTAATGATAGTCATCATGTAAAGACATATCATGAAGGTAGCAGCAGAAGTAGTGTTTTAGAAGCACCAGGTTTCAATTCCAAGAAGGGTTCTTTATCTCATAACAATTCATTAAATGGTGCTGTAGATACCTATCACCAAACTGAGGGCTCAAGGCATCGTGGTCAAAATTTTAGCTGCAGTGACGCACAATTGCTTATGTCAGGCAAAAAAGGCAAGCAAATAAAAACATTGCCCAGGAGTAGTGCAAGTGCCCACAAATATGGAGGTTTTGAAAATTTGCATGGCCGGACAGGGAAGGAAAACAACCATTCTGTGTGGAAAAAAGTTCAGAGGAATGACACAGCAGATGAATGCAGCCTGAAAATGAAGATATCTCATGCGTGCTTCCTATCTGACTTGACTTTGAAAGAGGCTCCATCACTTAAAAGGAACTGTACTGTCTCTGATGTAAATTCATCATCCAGAACTGAGGGAAAAAAACTGCCAAAAGACAAGGTTACTAAGAAGTTGAAACGGAAAAGTAGTCCAGGTTCCAAACAAGAGTACAGCTGTCATGGTAGGGGCTATAGTTCCAACAAGGCCACCTTTAATGCACATGCAAAGACTGGCGTGCAACAGCCTGAAATATTTGATCTCACAGGTCAAGTGAATGATAAAAAAGGAGGGAAATCTATTTCAAGAACTTATTCTCTGAATAGTTGTTTAACTGCTGGATTCCATCCCAGTGGAGTTGAATGCGTGAATTCAGAATCAATTAACAGCACACAAGTTTCCCCAGATGCGTTACAGCCACTTCAAAGTACTTGTGATACTGTTTCCAGCGCAAGACATTGCCATGCAGAAAATGGAGGTAGCTTGTCAGCAAAGTTGTGCAACTCATTGGGGCAGCATGCGGTTAAGGTGACTCCTCCAGTTTATCTTCCTCATCTTTTTTTTAATAAAGTTCCCCAATTGGAAAAAGAAGTTACAGTTGCTGAGTACTGTAAGCAAAACCATAGTTCTGGACCAGTAATGCAGAAGTGGATACCTATTGGGCTAAAAGATCCTGAATTGACCACCTCTTCTAGATTTGGTAATTCATCACCTGATCCTTCTGAAGGACCAGCTGGTGAAGATCTCACCTTGAGAAATGTTCAAGACAAAGCCAATTTTGATTCTCAAGACCTTGTTTCTTCATTGATGTTGGGCACGTGCCAGGATTCAGGAAATGCAGGTTGTTTTCCCCAAGAAGATGACCATATTCAAAAGTTGAAGAATTCTACTCTTTGGATGGATGAGCTCAACAAGAAGCATGTTGCAGCTGATGCTTTAACTAGTGAATCCTCTTACCAACAATTTTCAGCTTTTGAAGATGAATCAATAAAGATAATGCAAGCTGTGAAGGATGCTTGCAGAGTACAGATGGAATCTGAAGCTATTCAGATGGCCACTGGTGGTCCAATTGCCGAGTTTGAAAGATTTCTTCATTTATCGTCTCCAGTTATTAATTTTCCCAGTTTATCAAGCTGCCAGACTTGTTTGGATGACCGGCTTGTTGGTGCATCACTATGCAGACATGAGATACCAAATATCCCATTGGGATGCATCTGGAAGTGGTATGAAGAACATGGGAATTATGGTTTGGAAGTAAGGGCAGAAGAATGTGAGAATTCAAATGGTGGGGGCTTAGATCATTTTTCATTTCATGGCTATTTTGTTCCCTTTTTATCAGCAGTTCAATTGTTCAAAAACCATTCAAGTCAACCGATAAACAATAAGAACAGTGCTCCTGATCATGAAATTTCTGATGCATATAAGGCTAGTGAATCATCAGAGAACTCTGATGTTGGTCATCTTCCAATATTTTCTCTACTGATTCCTCAGCCTCGTACCACAGCTGTAGCTCAATCAGTTGACTTCACATGTTCTGACAGTGCAGAGTTACTCTTTGAATACTTTGAATCGGAACAACCTCAGCAAAGACGACCATTATATGAGAAGTAAGTACTCTTTTTACCTCTTATTTGAAGTTGTAGTTAACATATTACTGGAGCTTTCAGATGGATCTCCATACTGATTCTGTTAATTTCAGGATACAAGAACTTGCTAGAGGTGATGTGTCTTCTCGTTACAAAATGTATGGGGAACCAACTAATTTGGCCTCTCTGAATCTCCATGACTTGCACCCCAGATCCTGGTTGGTAACAAAACTAGTTCTAGGAATTAGCCTCACATTTCTCATTTTGGTTATGAAACAAAAGACTAGCTTGAATGTCATTCTGTGCATTAATAGGATTGAAGCTTGTTATATAACTGAATCATGCCAAGAGAAATTTTATAGACGTGTTATAGATGTGTTATGTGATATGTTTTCAGGTACTCGGTGGCATGGTATCCTATATATAGGATACCAGATGGCCACTTTCGAGCTGCATTTTTGACTTACCATTCACTTGGCCATTTGGCTTGTAAAAGTGCTGAAGTTGATTATGCGAGTAAGGATGCATGTATAGTTTCTCCAGTTGTGGGACTTCAGAGTTACAATGCTCAGGTAGTTATAAATGATGTTCTTCTATAGACTTCATTGCGTAATGGTGTGATTGTTATGATGCTAATAAACTTCATTGAATTGAATGTGGAAGCGGGTTGTCTCTATTTCGTTTCTCAACTTTAAACTTCCATGTCCACTGGCAAACCCCAATTGCTTATGCAAGTGTTAAATGACTTAAGAAGTCGGTGATTTCAATCAGCTTATGCAGCATATGCAATTGCATGGGATAAAAAAACTGAATCACCATCAACTTTAATTTTAATTTATATTTTTATTACCAAGGTAAGCCTGTTATTTATTAATTTGGTGTCCCATTTCTTCAGCAATTTTTTTTTTTGGATGTAATGGTTGTTATGCTGTCCACCTAAATATGATAAACCTTAAGATATTTTTCTTTAATTATGATAGATGTTAAGCTTAATGATTGATGAGAGTCCATGATCCGTTTTGAATGTCTGCTGATGAGATGGGATCTCCTTGCATGTTCAGTCCTCTTATTATATTATAGGCTTCTTTGGAAGTATTTTAGCCTAGTGACAGGCTTCTTATACATTGCTATGCTTCTCCGTGTGGAAAATACATGTAGAAGTTTGTTATCTTTCCAGCTCTTGTTTTTGAATTAACCATTTTACAGGCAACAAAATATTAAAGAGTTAAACAGTTTTTCTCTTTTAAATTCATTGGGTGTCTGTGTAACACACTTTGAAAATGCCCTTTGTATGTTCTTTGAATGGTTAAAATTATTCAGTAGCAAAGCTTTCAACTCTTACTGTACAGAGGTCAAATGCAGTTGGAATAATCTTAAATAGTGGAAAAGCATCCAAAACTGTCATAACTTGGCTTTGGACTTTGATTAGTGGCTGTTCTTGTGTGTGGGGTGGGTGGGTGTGCATGTGTACCCATCCTATTTATGCTCTTGACCCAAATGTGCTTTGTGTGCTGAATGAACAGGGTGAATGCTGGTTCCAGCTGCGGCACAGTGTAAACCAGGCAGCAGGAACACCAATCTCGAACCCTTCTGTAATTCTGAAGGAGCGGTTGAAAACCCTTGGGAAGACAGCATCTCTTATTGCCAGAGCTGTAGTAAACAAGGGAAATCAGACATCCATAAACAGACATCCTGATTTCGAGTTCTTTCTTTCTAGGGGACGATATTCACTTCCATAGATTTTGAGGTTGCCACTCTCCGGAGTAGTAGTCTCTTATGGTTACCGATCTAGGTCCATCCATGTAGCATATGAGATAAAGCTGGTAATCTAGTTCCATCCGTGTAGCATATGCCTCTTGGCATGAATTCCAGTTTCTTCTTAGGAAATCCTATAGTGCTGATTACTGATCTAGTTTTTTTTGTTAAACTTGCTGTAAATATTCTAGTAGTTTGTTAAACTTCTGGAAATATTTGTTTCAGTTTTAGTTGAAGTTCTTGAAAGTTTCATGCGTGCCAAGAGTGAGTGAATGGAGTCGCACCCTCGTCCTGAATGGATTTAGAACATACTTTGAATTAACTTTACCTCTGCCCAATGCTCCTTGCGCTCTTAGCCTCCAACTTGTCAGACAAAGTCATCTCTCTAGCATTCTCAGCCCTGGACTTGTGAATACTCTCCATTGGAACTCTCTTGTACTTTAAGACATTACCCTTCACCTTAATGTACGTGTCGTGGTACATGTGCTTGTCCATCTTTTTATTCGCTGTACTTCCGAAGCAGACGTCTCAGGACACGCATTCGTCTCATCCAGAAAGAACTCTAGTGGGCAGTCTAGCTTCTCTTGTACCCTTTCCTTGCCTGAAGTTGTTACGGACACCTAGGCTGGGCTTGGTTAGTATCGAATGAGAAAAAATGCAGATAAAAATAAATATGTTTTTTTCCATAAATATTTTTAAGTAATTTTTTTTTTATTTTTTTAATAAAAAAAACAGCAACTATCCTAACTGTCTCCGTCTTTCCGTCTTTAGTGTCAACCAACCACTTAACTTTCAGCCCATTAGACTTAATTCAGCACAACATAGATAAAATCCATCCACCTTGAGAAAAGAGAAACATACAATAATTGAACTGTTTAAGAAAATACCACTTGTAGTATAAAAAAACAAAAAAGATTCATTTGGCTACTTCATTATACAACCGAGACATGATCCAGATTTAGCACTACCAACGAAATAGTCTAACCTCCTAATTGAACTGTTTAAGAAAATACCACTTACGTTAAGTAGAAATAATACATGGGTAAGTATTTCAAAATAAAAATAAAAATGTGGAATCCTCTATTTGTGTTATGTAATGTAATCAGGATAATGATGATAGAAATCACTTGTTTTGTGCTTGTCCATTTACAAATAATGTATGGGGTTCTATTCTTCAGTTGTTGCAGAATTCACAAGTCTGGGGGGGGGGGGGGTTTGGGCTGATGAATTTGAATATGCCATGAAAAGTCTGCACAAAAAAGTGCTTTCCTTCTATTATTTTGAGATTAGCTTGGCGTGGAGTTGTTTATTTTTGTTGGGAGAGAAAGGAATGCCAGAATCTTCAATGATGCGAGTTCATTCAGTTCAGTTGAGACTACACAATGACCAAATTGCTGTTCGACGCTCAAAACGATCCTTCTTTTACTGAATTTTGTTGCTGATGGAAGTTCAGTTATGTTGTATAGTTTGGGTTTTTTCCTGTTTATGGGTTTGGCTCGTAGCAGGTCATGAGACCTGCTTGATTGCTTTTAGTTGGCTATGAAAATTTAAGCTTATAGAAAATTGGGCTTCTTCGATCTCCTAGCAAAATTTTAGATTGATCCAAATTTGGGGAAAATATCTTGCATCAATATTATAAAGTTTATTTTTGCATGAATAGATAAATATTAAAGCAGGGCAATGTTGTGTAATCTGCAGTCATCATAATAGAGCAAAAACAGAACAAAAAGGTTATAAGAGTCGACATGTAAAAGGAGAGTGCCTAATTTTAGACCAGGCACTTATACAGGTTTTGTGCTCTTTCGGGGACACTTCTCACTAGTAGCTAGCTAGGACTCATGCTGATGCAAATACGCAAGTTACAATATTTAGACTCCATTCTTCATGTCTTACCATTCACTTTGAAGTCGTCTGGACACTACAGGGCAAGAACCTTCTTGTAGGATAGCAGTCCATGCCTTCAAAGAAAATTGGCCTTAGTTCGATTCAATTCAGCTACAACATTGCTAGTGTCCATTCTCTCTTTAGGAAACTTTTCTGAGCAAAACACTCCTATCTTGCTGATTGAAATCAAACACTCCACGATTTGATCAGTGCCTTTTCCCAGATCAACTTCTGTCAGAAGTTTCGGGTCCGCGACATCATCTACACGGTCAGGTAAGGCCATTTTAACATAACTGTGAAGTTCTAGTCCATCTCTGAACATGCTATCTGTAGGTCTCTTCCCAGTAATCATCTCCAGCAGTAGGATGCCATAGCTGTATACATCCCCGAAAGTTGACACCTCGCTTCCGATGCCATACTTTGTGTTAGGATGCTGGCATGCAAACCCGACAAGATAAAAGGTAAGGGACAAGATAAAATGAGAAATGACACACAAGAATTTACGTGGTTCACCCAATTTGGCTACGTCCACGGACAAGTATAGAAGGATTTACTAAGTAATGTGGGAATACAACTTCTCTCTAATAATAGGAGAACAACAAAAATCTCTCTATTATTAGGAGAAAACACCTCACTTACTATCTCACAAATACCTCACAATTTTGTGGGATTACTCTCTTCTCACCCTCTCTTCTTTCTCTCTTATGGTGTGT